TGGCTTTCGAGCAAGGGAACCTTTACCTTTACTAAACTACTGCAAGCAGCTGAAAAGTCATGTAGCATGCATGGATCGGGGGTGGGGGTGGGATGAGGAGGCAAGGGCAAATCCAGCACAAAGGCTGCTGAGATGAATGGGGACAGGTGGTGTCAATGAGCCTCTTGAGTGCAGCAGAAAGATGACGCATGGGGGAGTACTGACCAAAATGAGAGACATGGGCTGCCATTCTTCAGGAGCAGCTCACTTCAAGTGATTGTGTTCCATGGTATAAATATCTCAACTGTGTCTGGGGACTCCTGTCTGGGCTTCCTCGCTGTACACTGAGCTTGAATCAGGGGACCTTGGGTATGTCTGTGTGTGCACCTCTCCACAGTACTATGCCTTTCTCTGCATGCCTCCCTCTCCTGGTATATGTTGAATATGGATGTTGATGCTAGGGTCGCTAAAGGATTCCTAATGCCCCTGCCTTACTTCTCTGTGCCTAGTTCGGTGTGTGGGTAGAGGACTGCTCCTAAGTGTGTGGGTTGTAGTCCAGCCTCTTCCTTGTGTTTTGCTGCTGCTTAGTTAAAACATAACTTTTTTGCTTTTGTGTTCGCATTCCAGTGTGGTGACAGCCAGTGTGGTATAGTGGTTAAAGTGTTGGGATTAGGCTCTGGGAAATCCAGAAACTCTGCCATGGAAGCTTGCTGGGGGACCTTGAGCCTGTCACACATGCTCAGCCCAAACTATCTCGCAGGGTTGTTGTGAGGATAAATTGGTGGAGAGGAGTACAACACAAGATGCTGAGGGTCACTATAGGGGAGAAAGGTGGTGTATAAATGAAAATAAAATCCCTCTTAGTGGGATTCAAGACCATAGTTCCTGAGATACGTAGGTACCTTTCTCAGGGAGTTATTGGAAAGTTAACAGGAATGACTTCTGTGAATGTGCAGTTCTTGCTGTAGCTGCCCCAATGTCTGCATACCCTTTAACAGGCAAAAAGCTGGTGCTGGAGTTCTTGCCCTCTCTCAGGTCCTTGTATAAATATAAAGACACTCCGTGAATGAATTACGAACATAAGCAGAAAAATTATATTGTATGAAACAATTCAAACATTTTGAAATCTTTGTTAAAGAACATATATATATCAGAGCTAGGAACAAAAAGTACTTGATACAAAGGCAGAATACAATAAGAGTCCACAGTTCCTTTGTATAAAAAACTTCAGGAGTGCAATAGTTCCACGTCATATGTGAGTACAGCTATACACGGCTAGCTTCACTGCCGCGTTCACGTTACTCTCTCAGGTCTTGGCTGTTTTACTGGGGTTCCCTCTGCTGCACAAATTACAGAGGCACGGGAGTGCTATGGCTGATATGGCCATGTTTCCTTCCTTGTATGTGCATCAGGCAAAAAGAAACATGGTGGCAGGAAAGGACTTGAACCTGCATCTGAAGAGCTCCCTAAGGTGTGTTTACACCAAAGCTCCTCCCCATCGCACCATGGTCCTTCTTCCAGCACGTTTTCTCTCTTGTTATGCTACATTGTCCATGTGGGCAGCAGTGAATTTACATGGGGGATGGGGACATGTCCACTTCAGCATGTGCTGGTTGGCTTTAATGGAGGTGTAATTGGCATACTGCTTCATGATCGTTGGGTGTGGAATCGTTATGGATTCCAATGCAATTCCTACACTCTCTGCATCTTGGAGTAGAGTCTCCTCTGTAGGTTTCTTCTCGGCTGAGTGAGCATAAGATATTTATTGGCACCACCGCAGCACCAATAATGCATCAGCATTGGGGGTCTTACATCTAGTCACTAAGTGACATCAACTTTATGTACTCTGGTTTAGTTTATCTGGAGCTCATTATGTTATATGCCTCACTATCTATCAGTATCTGCATTTCTTCCCACTTTGGTACATTAATCTGTAATTTGAAAATCTTGATCAAGGTACAGAGTCTCGGCAAACATAACCAAAACAATAGCCAGCCCAGGATAATAGGATGAATTACCATAAAAACATTTAAATTAACAGAGCATTTCAAATCTCTTGGTCAGATCTGAGTATTCATTTCCTTTGAGAGATACTTGGAGGACTCCAAATCATGCCCTCTGAAAACCTCAACGAACTGTGACTGACACTGAATAATTTAGATCATTCATAATTCACAGTTCATTAATTCATAAAGTGTAATTCATTAATTTTTGACTTCTCAGTTCATAGTGTGTCATTTGAAGCTTCACAACTTGCATATTTATAGAACACACCAATATCTGCCCTTTTGTTTAACTAGTTCAAGATACAGAGTTTACTGCCCAACTCACAAAAATACCCTAGTTTGCCAGCCTTGAATAAAGCCTACCCAAGACTCTGTGAGCTCGTTCTCACTGATAATTCGGAGGTGGTCAACCTTGTGTCTGAAATGTACCACTTCAGATTGCAGATGGATATTTGAGTACTTGAATAAGCCTCTGAAATACACACAGCCCATGTAGAAAACTAGATATTAGGGAGAGGACCAGGATAGAACAATTCTCCTTGACATCTATTTCTCTGTACAGATTTTTATTTATATGGAGGAACATTGAGTCATGGTAGCCCTCACCTGCATGTCTAAAGTGATAAATTCCAAATCAAGGTTGACCACCTCAGTGAGAATTAGACCCACCTCGTTTGCAAAACAAGCTCCAGGAATCCTTGCTTGCAACATGTGATAATTCCTCACTTGACACAGTGGTGATGACAGATTCTCACTTCCACAGGGAGTTGTGGCCCATAATACTACCTTCGTTCAATAAAGAATCCAGTTCAGCTTCTGTCAAGTACAAATAACATTGTTTTGCATTTATCCTCAAGAATGCTAGTGTAGGAGAATTTCCAAGAGGTCTCCAGCTATCACTTTCTTTTCCCAACGATAAGGCTCGATTTACACATGGCATGCTGGTGGGACAGACATTACCCCATGCACCTTCACAACTGCTCAGCATTAGCTTGCATACTCTGCACTACTATGTGTGCCATGTTAACAGCATGACAGCACCAAGCCCGCCAAGCCTACAAATGTCTGGGGTGCCAGTGTAGCATGTGTAAGCGGAAGGCTCGTTTTAACCAAGAGGCATGCAATTTCACATGTGTGACTTCTTCTGTCCTGCCAGTGTCAGATTTAAATTAGACCACTGGCAGAGGACAAGAATGTAGGAATTCTGCCTTTGCAACAACTAATGCCAAAAGCTCAGGGGTCAACAACAATGACCCACAGAAAAAGAGGTGGTACAAAAACCGAAAGCAAAATGTGATCAGCTAGTTGTCAGGAGCAGGGAAGCTATAAACCCCTTCTCCTCAAATTCTTGTCTTTTTGACAGCCTGATCCTGGTTTCCCGTCACCACTGAAGCTCTGGCACTCCTTTGTGTATCTTTATATAACTGAGCTCTAAATGGACATGCTTCTTTAGAAGGTAATTCCGTCTGTGAGCTAGACAGGCAGGATTCCGTCCTGCAAAAATGCTTACATTCTTCTGGATTTATTTTAATTTCTAAAATAGCAGCTTCTAAAATATTACTCTAGCAGCATGGCTGCCACAACTGAATAGTTCTTTCTGCTGATTAGATAATGTATGTAATCTATGTAATGGGGACACCAAGTGAGAGGAGCATATGACATGATACTTCCCACATCAACAAAAGAACACCATTCAGAACAGCAGGTGGGAACCTTCGGTGTTGGAAGTAACCATGTCAGGTCCTTTTCACATGGTGTCCCCCCTTACATACATTATGCGCACTTAGCAGAGGTTATCCTCTCCAACCCAATGGATTTCCTGGAGGAATTCTCTCTTTTTTTTATATTCCTTCTCAAGTCCTAACCACACTTAGAGCCACACATGAGGCTTTTGTAGTTAGTTAACCTTATAGTTAAGCTCACACTGGGGCTCCAGTAACTCACAAGACTGCATCACACATTTTAGTGGTGGTTAGGAGCACAGACGCTAATCTGGGAGAACTGGATTTGATTTCCCCCTCCACATGCAGCTGCTGGTGTGACCTTGGGTCAGTCATGGCTCTCTCAGAGCTGTTCTGGAAAGAGCAGTTCTCTCAGAGCTCTCTTAGCCCCACCTACCTCACAGGGTGTCTGTTGAGGGGAGGGGGAGGGAAAGGAGATTGTAAACTACTCTGAGACTCTAAGTGAAGGGTGGGGTATAAATCCAATTTCTTCCTCCTCCTCCTCCTTCACAGAACTTCTGGGAAAATGCAATATGGTGGGAAAGTGTACCACATTAGTGCTGGGTTGTGACCCAGTATACCCCCAAAATGATTGGAAAGAGACCATCAGATCCGCCACAAATTGCACCTCATCTGACCACTTTTAGATAGACAACACATCCTTTTTATATGTTGCAAGTCCATATAGGTGTAACTTCAGAATGGCTGCGCCAGTCATTCTTCCCAATTCCGAACACATATATCAGGAAGCCAACCCCCACACATTCCCCTTCTGATGCATTAAAATCATAACATACGCCTGCATATTTATGTCCACATCAAAAGACAAGCTGTATAAAGTGGTTTATTACATTTTCACCCGCTCTTTCTTCCAAAGACTTCGAGCTTGGTGGGGGTCCCATTTTATCCACGCTGTTCCGAGAGACCTGCGAAGTAGGTTAGAGAGTCCCTGTCCATGGCTATAATCGATTTTGCAGTCAAGCGTTACTCCTCAACGAGTGACAGATATTGAATCCGTCTGTCATCGGGTTAAACCAGCACCTGTTTCTCGCTAGTCCCCGAATGTTCCAAAATCCTCCTTCACGGCTTCAGGTCAGTGGCCTTCGCCGAACCACTTGCTTGCTCGGTTAGCCCTGTTTACACCGGAGTTGGCAAGCGCCTCTCCCGCTTCTCCCCTCCCCCCCGCCCTTCAGCGTGCGGGTGCTCGGGATCTGCCGCGCCGTGCGGGCTCGTGCCCGCGGTCTGCAGGGTTCTCAACTCTGCCGCCCTCTTTCTTTCCCCTCCCTCCCTCCCTGGCCGCCTGGAATGAAGATGGTGGCAAGTGTCCGGGTGCAGAAGCTGGTCCGCCGGTACAAACTGGCGATCGCCACGGCGCTGGCCATCCTGCTCATCCAAGGCCTGGTGGTGTGGAGCTTCAGCAGCCTGGAGGAGGACGACCAGGGAGAGGTAGGAGCAGGGCAAAAGCGGGAGCCTGCAGCGGTCACGCAGGGGGGCAAGGCGACGGGGCACAGACGGGGGGGGGGGGGGGGGGACGGTGGGCGAGAGTATTTTCACGCGCTGCTCGAGAGGGCTTCTGGTTTGGGTCTGGGGGTACGGCTGGTGCTGCATCGGGTCAGCCTGGGGCGGGTGTGTGTATGTGATGGTGCTCTCCAGGAGCAAAGAGTGCCAGTCTGCTACGGGGGGCGAGCGTAGAAGTGGGTTCGACGGGGCAGGTTGGTCAGGGTGTGTAGGGCTTGGGGAACGGGGTGGGGTATACCCGCGGTTGGGGGCGGTGGGTGCTTGGCCATGGGGTGAGCTGAAGCTGGATGGTGCATGGGAATTTGTGAGGATTTACTATAGGGTGATAGTGCGGTAAAGTCCGGACGGCTAGGTGGTAGTGCTGTGCTCTTCATTGTTTTAGGCGTTGGTAACTCAGGGGTGCGTGTCACGGCCTGGATATTGGAAAATGTGTGGGTTTTCTTTTAAAAAAAAAAGGACTTGGCAAGGGGCTGCTTGACATAGGAAGTGATGTGTTATGGTTTGGAAGATCTGTGAAACTCGATCCTATGCATGCTTACTCCGACGGAACTGCCACTAAGTTCAACGGACTTTCCTGCCAAGTAGGTGTACATAAAATTGCAATCTTAGTGCATCTGAATAGGAGAGTAATGTTATGAATTTGCTGTGGCAGGAACCTGAAGACGATATTAGGGACGAGTCCATGGTAGCTAAGGTGTCTTGGTGCTCGGTATTGGGGGGTTTAATGCCCTAGTGACGGAATATACCATCAGAATACCCACTTGATGCATCAGTTTAGGCGTCAGGGCACATGTTTAGGTACTGGGTAGGTGACACATTCCAGATGTCTGTTTGTAACATGAGCATAAGAAGAGACCTGTGGGAACAGACCAGGGGTCACCCTAGTCTGACATCCTCTTTCTGGCCAATCAAATGCTCCAGCCTTTCTTGGCTCTGCTGTGTCTTTTAACTTGAGATGTCAGAGACTGAACCTGGGACTCTGGTCATGAAAAGTTGTATTCTACTACTAAGCTATGGTCTCCTCTCCTGTGTTTGGAAAATTTAATACGATAGGATGTGATGCGAAGTAGTACCAGGCCAAGAAGATAAGAGGGTGGGGGGATTAAAATAACAATGAATTGGTTTGATTGGAGTATCCTGGAAATGAGGATGTCTGGGAGGATCTACAGTGTGATGTTTGGGAACTACTTTGAACTGGTCCATGGGGCAAATGTTACTATGTGACTGGTGGTTTGCACTACATGAATCTGATGATCATTTTGCCATGACATCCTTTTTATCATTTTTATTTATGTAAAATATTTACTGTGCAACCTTAAGCACTGTTACAGTCTTCGAAGCCCATTGAAGTCAGTGGATGTACCTCAACTGAGAACTTCACTGTTATACCCTCACTTTTGTGTCAATATTGGCACCCAAAACAACTTTCTAAAAGCAATTTGAAATATAAGAATTACCTTAAAGAAGGCCCCAAAATGAGGCTGCAGAGAGTCCTAGATGTTCACTCTTCATCTTTGCAGCACTACTGGAGGACTGAAGGGACAGAGGTGACAGGAGTCTTCATCCTAGTTCTCAGAAGAGCCTTTTCATGCCATGGCTCCTGCCTCTTTTTCAGGCATTGGTGAAAACCACCTGGTCCGTGCATACAAGCAGCTCAGCATATTGTAACAGCTGCCAAATAGAGCTGTTTTATTAGCATTAGTATCTGTGAGGTTGGACAGTTGGCACCAATGGCTGTCTTGGAAGTGTGTCATGCGCTACAGCAACCAAGATAATATCTTTTTTGGATATGTAAATTTAAGTGAGTGTAGGAGATGCCAGACAATCACTGATGTTAGTGCTCTGTGTGTACCATTTGGCCAGTTCTCATGAGCATTTGTGTGTGTATGTGCTTGAGTCTTCATGGGTTAACTTGTGATCTGGGTACCTGATTATAGGATGGGAATTCATATCCAGCTCAAGCCCATTGAAAAGTAAACAGGAAAACAATTCACAGAAACAGCCATCTGAATCTGCTTTCAGATGAAGTCATACTGGAAGTAACAATGTTAAATATTTTGGAAATTGGATCATATGAAAAGAGAAAACTGGTGCATGTTCAGGGCTGAGCTAAATCCTTCTGTCATTTCTCCTCTCGCTTGACCCTGAGAGAATAACAAAATTATATGTGCCAGTTGGACACTGGAGTAATTCTGATCAACAAAGTAAAAGGTGAAGATGAAACTTCTTCCTTTAATGTTTATAAAGCATGTTTGGCACCTGAACTATGTGAATTACTTTGTGGTATAGCATAAGTTGTCTAACTCAACATTACTGATCACTCATTTGCACTGTTTGGAATGTATGTGTTTTTTTCCTGATGTCCTTGATCATCTTTGGAGAGGCTTTCAAAGCCACACAGAGATGTTGAACTCCTAAAGTATAGAGCATCTTTGTTGTATCTGACGTTAAATTTACTATTTTATGCAAGTAAATGGTCACTGTGTTAGACAAGGAATCTGTCCAGTCAAAATAAAGTACATCTCTACTGTGACTTCCAGTGAGATTTGTAGCGTGCATCAGAAATAATAATAGTGATGATGATGATAATATCTTCCTTTTCTTCCATGGTTTATAACGAAGATATCTCTTTGTTTTTACTCCTTGCTTTGGGAAATCCAAGTAGCCCAGCTTAGCCCGAGCTCATCAAAACCTGGAAGCTAAGCAGGCTAGGCCACGGTTAGTACTTGGATGGGAGATCACCCAGGAAGACTGGTGTTATGGCACAGAGAAAAATAATGAGGAATTTCACATTACCCTTTTGAAGCCGTTTTGAAGCCGTTTTTGATCCGTCATGGAGTAAACCGGTATAGGGCTGCCATTTCACACATGGCTTTCCCCTTCTGGTAAAGAGCTGGATCTGAAGTGGTTTGCCATTTCAGACTGCACTGCTTCTCCCCCGCCGTTTTCCACCCGCGTGGGCGATCTCCAGCTTTTTTTTTAACGTTCGCTTTAGAGCGCTATAGCGGTATAGTGCTATAACACAACACTCCAGGCATTCCAATGGGGTTGATATAATGCTGTTGCATTATAGCACTATAGCGCTATAAAGCGAATGTTAAAAAAATGCCGGAGATCACCCGCGTGGGCAAAAAACGGCGGGGAAAAGCGCATCAGAACTGGGAGAGAAAACAGAAGACTACTTGGAAGTGGTTGACAGGTAAAACGCTTCAGCCACGTTTCCTAAATGGGACAGAAGCATTTGTGTGTGAAATTACAAATATATTCCAGTAGGGAACCGGTTCTAAAACGGTTCTGTCTGAAATGACAGACCAGAAACCGTTTGGGAACCGTTCCTCTTCCGGATTATATCGTCTGTCTGAAATTCCTCAATGGCAAACTACCTCTGTTTGTCTCTTGCATGGAATGCCCTATGAATGGGGGCACCCTGAGTCAATGGCACATTATTCTTCTTGGGAAAAAAGATATAACAAGTAAGGGGACCCGCGATACTTGCGGGGGGGAGAGAAAGAGCTCCATACAGAGCAGGAGGAGGAGGCAGCAGCAGGTAAGGCTCCCCTGGTCTCCTCCACCACCACCCCGCTCTGACGGTGAGGCCTGAGCGGCTGCCAGCCGCCAGGCCTCGCCGATTTCCTTTTCCCCCCTTCCCTCGGTCTCCTCCACCCCACCCCAGCTCAGATGGCGAGGCCCAAGCAGCTGCCAGCCGCCGGGCCTTGCTGATCTCTTCCCCCATTCCCCGGTCTCCTCCACCCCGGCTCGGACGGCGAGGCCCGAGCGGCTGCCAGTCGCCGGGCCCCACCGATCTCCTCTCCTCCCCGTCTCCTCCACTCCACCCCCCAGCTCCAACGCCGGTGAGGCCGTGCCTCGCCTGTCCTCCCCCCCAGCTCCGAAGCGAGCCCTGGCGGCTTGCAGCCGTCGTGCCTCGCCTGCCCTCCCGCTTGTAGCCGCCGGGCCTCGCCGGGCCCCGCCTGCCCGCCAGCCAGCCAAGCCTTCTGCTGCGCTCCCGTCCCCTGTGGCAGCGGCAGCGAGGCAGTTCACAGAGCGTTCCCTGCGCATGCGCAGGGGATGCTCTGTTACTTTTGGGGGGGTTTAAATATTCCCCCGATATTTTTCCCCCTTTTCAGATTTTTGTGCACACCTGGGGACTGCCCCAAGTGTGCACGAAAATCTCCCTCCCCCCCAGGTGCCCCCGATGCGCAGATTTAGGTATCTGCACGCAGGGGGCACCTTTCACTATTAGATATATAGATGGGCTTCTTAAGAATATGTTTCTTAAAAATTAAAGGGAGATCTTTTGAACATCTCCTTGTCAAGAAACAGTGTAGTTGGGCTGACTTATCTCTGGCTGCTTGCCCCCTGACTGTTAACATGAGAACGACATTGATATTTTTGTACCCATATCCAAAAGTCAGACTGTGCTATAGAGATATTGCCAGAGCACAAAATGCCCAAATGGAAGTTGTACGCAATGAGCCCAGATGAGAAAGAGGAGCTGCGCAGGTTTATAGATAAAAACCTTGCTTGGGGTTTCATCCGCCTGGCCTCTTCCCCCTTTGCTGCCCCCGTTCTCTTCCAAAAGAAGGATGGTGGGCTGCAGCTGTCCATAGACTATGTGGGCTTAAACACAGTGTCCATGTCCAGTGCCTACCCTCCCGCTCATCAAAGACCTCCTGGCGGAAGCTTCCCAGGGGTGCATTTTCACCAAACTTGACTTGTGGGATTCTTATTTCAGAGTGCGCATTTGGGAGGGGGATGAACACAAAATGGCTTTCAGTACCCTGTTGGGACAGTTTGAATACCTCGTGATGCCATTCAGGCTGGCAGGAGCCCCTAGGGTTTTTATGAACTTAATCAATGAAGTGTTGCACAAGCATTTATTCAAGGGGGCACTAGTTTATCTAGATGATATCTTGCTCTATTCAAAAGAT